AGAACTAAAGCTTTTCCAGAACCAAGACAAGAGGATGGAGAGCACAGGACTAAGAAACTAGACTTATGTTTCTTCCTGACTTTGACACTGAGCACAGTATGTGATCTTTGAGTCATGGAATCACTCTTGAGTTCAATTAACAACATTAGTTTGTAAACTGGGAATATGATCACTTCACCCTCCCTTACTACTTCACAAGATTATTTTAAAGATTGGTAAACGATCTTTGTTATGAGAGGAGTTAATGTTTAGACTGTGATTAACTTTATAATCTAAGTTCCTTTGTTCAATGACATCATGGGAGCGAGCAGTAACCCAGAGTTTGTTTTTAATATGTGCGTATTGTATACTAACACCCTTCAAGGGCATAGTGTGAGGAAATAGGATACTCATAAAGGTTTCCTTTTTAAAGATTTCATATTCAATAGAGATTGATTAAAAGATATTTGGAGGATGGGAGAATCCTTTTTCTTCCTTCTGTTCTCTGGCTATGGACTAGGGTCACATAATCTTCTGTGCTATTAAGATGCAGAAGAATCCAGTGAAAGGATCACAGGCTTCAGAGTTAGATTTCAGTTCAAATCCCAGATCTGCAACTTAATAGTTGCGTGACCTTGGACAAGTTATTTAACCTAATCCACAGCTTTTTTGCTATTATTTTTCTGGAAAATGGGAATAGCACTACCTCCCCATAAAGGATAGTCAATTGAAACAATTATTAAATGTTCAATAAACATTAGTTCTCTTACGTCCTCTCTAGAGGAAAAGTTATTGAGTAGAAAAAAAAATTTAATAAAAAGGTGTGTTCAAATGGCTTACCTTTCTTAAACCCATTTTTGTGCTTATGAAATACATGGCCTTTCTGGACATGTGAAAATGTGTGCATACCAGCCTTTAACTCTCAGAATCTCTTAATGCTGTACCCTAGGTGTGTTGCCCTAACAGTGTACATAATGTAAGTACTCTCCATTTCTCGTGGTGATTCTGAGTAACTGTATCACCTACCATACACTATATATACCCATTTGTGAACTGATTCTTTTTATCCAAGCAAGTGCCATTATCAGTTTGATTTCCTTGGTGGATGTTGCCACTAGGATTGTGTTTTCCCAGGAAAGGTGGTGAGAAACTTCTGTCAGATGATACAAGAGCCTTTCCTACTTACCACTTCAATATTTTTTTAAATAAAAACTTTGAGGATGTTATAATGAGAATACCACCAGATCAAGTGTGACAATCCCAAAGAACTCATGCTCACCTGATAAATGCATGTGACAGAGCCAATGATAGTGACCTCTTAGACTAGCTGACCCATTTTCCCCAATTCTCATAAACCATGCCATCCTTGGTGAAGGAGCCAGTTCAGTTAATGTGGAAGAGTGCTTGCTTACTGTCCATGCACTAAATGTTATAGGAGAAATGCTTTTAAATTTTTAAGCATTCAAAATGCTAAGCTTTTGGGAGTTAGAGGGGGTGGGGAATACAAGCAAGCTGCTATGACCAATACACAACTAAAAGGCACAACTTGAGGGTAAGAGGTTTGGCCTACTAATCATCTACATTTAATTCCTTAAGGTAAGGTTGGCACAATCTAAGAGCAGAAAGTCAAATACAAGGCCTTGGGGGCAGCTACACTTGAAAAGCAGAAGGAAATTCGAACAGCAAAGTAAAATAGAAAGAGTAGTCAAAGGGAAGGAAATCAGGATAGCACAAGGTCAAAACAAGAAAAAAAAAATTCAGTGACATCAAATGTAGCAAAGACTTCAAGAAAGAGAAGCAGCAAAAAGTGATTTGACCTGGAGGAAGTGAGCAGTGGTTTCTGAGGTTAAGTGGTTTCTGACTAGGCAGGTGCTTTCTATTACATAAATGGTGCCTTATATGGAATGAGATATTTAAATCAGCATCTTATTTCACACAGAACATTAAAAGGCCATTATAATTAGACTCACTCATTCATTTATCCATTAGCATTTACTGTGCTCTTACAAGTGCCTGACTCTACTAAGCTCCATGGGGTAGGGAGTACCTAATAGAAAAACCATAACTAAATCATACTTGCTTCTTTCTCACAAGCAAGCTGGGCAAAGTTTAAACCTGATGACTTACAAATGAAAGTCTCATTTTCCTGTAGCTTTTTCAGTTTATATATTCTTTTCTGATATGTTAGCCTTTTTTTTTTTCTTTTTTAATTAGAAAGGTTTGGTTTGCCACATCACGTGTCAACCTAGAAAAGCAGCAAACATATCAAATCTCAAAGTATCTTGTGTATGCTGTGAGGAAAAGCAGAAATAGCATTTATATCTTGTTTTATTTTTTTCCCTACAAACACAAACAAAAGCCCACACAGAATAGTCCAAAGGAACTGGTTTCCTCAGTTTCTCAAGAAAGTGCATACATTGCTTTGTGTATCATAATTTAACAGGTTTGCCTGGCCACATCACTGGCATACAACAAATTTGGATTTTGACAAGAGGTTGAAAACATCAAGTCTCAAAGAATCTTTTGAGAGCTTGGAGGAAAACCAAAAATGGCATTTATAGTGTGTTAGGTATTTATTTCCACTAAAGTTTGATGCCTAGAACATAAACCCAACAGCCCACATGGAATGAGCAATGGAAAGAAAGCTATGAAACTTGGGCGGTGCCTATGGCTCAGTTGGGTGCCGGCCCCATATACCGGAGGTGGCGGGTTCAAACTCAGCCCCAGCCTAAAAACTGCAAAAAAAAAAAAAGTTATGAAGCTTTCCACACTTTCAGAAAATATACCTAGAAATGTCTGCTTCTCAAAATGGGGTTCAGAGCTACCTTGCAATAAGCAACCTGCTGCCTGGAAATAAGGCAACCCGCAGGATACATTTGGCACATCAAAAATAAAGAATTATTTAAAACTAAAACAGATACATTGTGGAGAAAAATGTAAAATTCTCCTGATTTTTATGAAGTTTTCATGAAACTTCAAAGCTCAGAGCCCAGGGCTTTGCCACTAATGAAATTCACTTTCTCTGTCATTAGAGGTGTAACCACGGAAAGGCACAGACCTACTGTGCCAAGTTATTATGAGCCAGGTGAAAACTGGATCTCTCCGGATCTAGTGAGCATTCTCTGTAACCAGCTATTCTAATTAGCAAACTATTAAAGACACATGAACTTTTCTTTGCACCAGTGATAATCAGGTGAAACCAGATTCCTCGTTACTTTGAGACTTAAGGCTTACAATCCAGTATCCATATGTACACATCAGCTATAAGGAACTTTTATAACTGGCTATCCAAAATAAATTCATTATGGTTCATCTTATAAGGGTACATGTGAATCTTTCTAAATGTAGAATACAAATGTCTTAACACAATAACTAAGAAAATGACATGAAGACTATGTTAACCAGTTTGATGAAAATATTTCAAATTGTATATAAAAAAGCACACTGTACCCCATGACTGTATTAATGTACACAGCCATGATTTAATAAAAAATAAAGAAAAGAAAATTTTTAAAAACCTACCTGAAAGGCAATGCATGGTGTTTTTTTTCTCTTTCTACTTTCCTATATATTTTTTTTAATAATAAAGGGGAAACATTTTTTATAAAAAACAAACTCCTACTTAAAAAGCTTAAAAAGTTCTTCAAGAAAATTATGATGAAAAATACCTACCTAAAAAAATCACACTGATGATCTATTAAATATTTGCTTCTTTACCTTCACTAATGCCCATAGCCAAAGATCTGATTTACTGCAATTGGAGAGGTCACATTTTTACTTTATTTTCTTATTACTTTATCTTCTAATGTCAAGTCATCCCTGTTAAACATTATAGAGGAGAATATCCTTTTTCTGCAGTAACTCCAGGCACTTTAAAACATCTGCCCAAATTTCATTATTCTTAAATAACTAGTAGTTTTTATCTACCTATAACTGATTGCCTCTTCAAGGATTATACAGCAATCAGAGATAAGTTCAACTGATATAAAGACTCAAAACCAAAGAAATAAAAATAAATAAATAATTAAAAACCAAAGAAATAGTTCCCCACTTCAACTCAAATTTTAATAATTATTAATTTCCTTGTTATCCCTTCCTATACAACTTTTTATTGTAAACTATATAATTAAAAAGTCTTTCTCTAGGAGAATGATAAGCATCTGCTGTTTCATATCATGAAATTTACATGTTTACAGGAAATAGATTTTTTAAATAAGGACAGTAATTGTTATAATAACACAAAGTTAAGACTTTATTTCTTTAAGACTTTAGCCTTACATTATATATCTGAAAACTATATTCCAAATAAAAGTGTGCAGCTTAGCTTTCTCAGTGGAAAACAATCATTCCAGTATATTTTCTAAAAGTTAACTTAAACACAGTTCTTTTAGAGGAAAACCATATTTATTGTGGAAAGATTTATATTTATTAATCAAAGGCACAAACCAAAACTAAGACTATTAAAGTTGACCATAATATCGACAATTAAGTTATATCAACCTGGTAAGGAAATACCAGCGAAAGCTAATGAAGATAAGTTCCATTAAATTCCTAAGGAAAATACAATTCCGACACCATTTAAAGTAATAATTAGAACCTTTTGAACAATAGGAAAATAATCATAATAAGTGCCTTATTTTGGAGGCAAAGAAACATAAATTTTGTGCTGAAACCTGATATAGCATAGAACATCAATAGTGTCTTTCAGTCTTGGGTGTCACTCTGATGATGGATGCCATCCAGTGGTCTACTGGATTAAATTACACAATATGACTTTCTGCCTGTCATCAGAATAGTGGAACATTTCAACTTCTTGGTGCACATTATACAATCCAATCAGATAACCTTTGTTGGGAAGGGGCCAGTTCATGGAGGTCAATTTTTCTATCACACTACATCAATAGCAAATTCAGGGGGGGTCAACCTTCCACCTTATAGCACTATATCAAAATAGCAAATTCACAGTGCCTTCCAAAGGCTCCACACTAAGAATAATAAAAGTCAAGAGAAACACAGTATTATTTCACTTATAATTTACTAGCTCTTCCAGTGTTTTAGAGTGACACGGGGACAATTCAAGATGAACGGGACAGAAGGTGGACTTAGAACATACTGAACAAGTATCTTGATTGAATCAGCCTATTGGTGTAGTTCTTAAGTCTACTTAGATAAGTAGAGTCGTCAGTCCTCCATCCAGGCAATCTTATAATTCACGGGGGGCTACCTTAAGTATCCTAAAATTAAAGGAAAAAAAGTTAAGTTTGCGTGTTGCCCAAATTTCAACATCTGTATTCACTTGCAGACATGCTCGTCTATTCCCACCAATGAAGACCTTTCCCATGTGTCCAATTACAATGAGAAGGGTGTCCTAGGGATCAACTCGCCAACTGTTCTCACAGTATTTTACCATTCAAACACTGAAGCTATGGAAACACATGTTTCCCCAAAATCTGGTTTCTGGTTAGGTCAGGTGAGTTTATGGCTTCAACAACAGTTCATGAAAACATCTTTTTACCAGAAAGCAACACTCAATGACTAGACTGTGGTAATTGAAAACTTGGCAAAGGACTAGGGAAAATGTCAATCAGTATTGGTTAAGAGCAGAGAGTACCTGCCAGGGACCTCATGAAAAAAGTCATTACTGGGATTCTTTTGTTTCTCCTCACTCCACGTCAAAATATGTTAAAAGAGGAATCACATATGATCTTTAGGCTGACATATATACAAACATGTAAACCCAAAGAGACTCTTCTGTTCCATAAGTGAACAGAGCGTGAACATATAAGCTGTAGCTAAGTCACTGCTTTCTGGCCGTGCCTTGTAGATGGGTCTCTTGTGTATATGGTGCAAAATTTAAATACACTACTGGAAAAGACATTCTTGGCAAACTCAGTCCGTGTATCACATGCAAAAGCTGGAGTAAATATCAACACCAACAGAGCTGATGACCAAAATGAACTCACCTTGAAGTTGGAGAGGAGTAAATCGCAGATACACTGGTTACACTATCTCATACTGGTTATTTGTTATGGCACGAGAGAGGCAGTAGGCTAGAAAGATTCCAATAAGCTGGAAATAAAATATGAACAAAATTAACACACAAAGAGCTTGAAGACCTCAGAATATATTCTCCTTTCACTTGTAATTCATTAATAATTTCCTTCCTTGTACACTGTATACGTAACAGTGCCTGTAAAACATTCAGAGAATATATGAGCCAGAATTTCATAACTGTTAATTCTGAATCTTGCTTTTGTAGTTTCAAGGCATGATTGCCATGGTAAAGAGTGTATAACATGGCAGTAAAAATTTAGAAACCTCCGTAGTTGTGTAGGAAAACATAAAACCCAAGACCTAAAAATACTGGAATGAAAAGAGCAAAACATCCACCCTCCCTAAGTAAAACAAATCTAAATAAATTTCTGAGTACAAGAAAATGTGGTATACATACCATGGAGTATTATTCAGACATAAAAAGGAATAAAATATTGTATTTTGCAACAACTTTGATGGAACCAGAGACCATTATTCTATGTGAAATATTTCAGGAATGGAAAAACAAACACCTAATTAACTAATCAATGAACACACATGGGCACTATGAATCAATGGACACACCTAGGGGACATCAAGGCCATAGGAAATCAAGAAAGGAAGAGGAGGAGAGGAAGGGAGAGGTAAAAATCTACCCATCGGGTATAATCAACACTATGCGGGTGATACGCACACTAAAAGCCCCAACTTAAGCATTATAAAAAGTATCCATGTAACAAAAATATTTGTACCTCCTTAATATTTTGAAATTAAAAAAACCAAAACAAAAAAGACCTAATTGTAAATAAAAATCAGTATTACATGTACACAACAAGTCTAATCAAGATTCCACCAAAAGAAAAACAAAGTATTTCTACACTGTGCTCAGTAACTAAGAATTCTGTGAAAATGTGACTTCTCCAAAAATGTCCTTCCTTACTGTTCCAGCCCCTGAGGCAAAAACTTTAAGCACTAAAAGTAAAAATATTCTAGCTTACCCTATGAGAGGGATGAAGTATTTCCTAACTACAAGGACTTACCTGAAAGCAAGCAACTCCAAAGGAAATTCCTGCAACAACTCCCATTTTTGACTCTATAATGGTCATCACCTTTAAAAAACAACCCTAAAGGAGGGAAAAATTTGAGTACAGCTCAAGAAATCTTTGCTTTTTTTTTTTTTTTTTTTGGGATAAGAGTCTCATTCTGTAGCCCTGGGTAGAGTACCATGGTGCCATCATACCATGGTGCAACCTCAACTTGTGGGCTCAAGCAATCCTCTTACCTCAACTTCCTAAGTAGCTGGGACTTACAGGCCTGTGCCACCATGCTGGACGAATTTTTCTATTATTAGTAGAGATGGGGGGTCTCACTCTTGCTCAGGCTGGTCTCAAACTCCTGAGCTCAAGGGTTTCACTCAGAGCCTCCCAGAGTGCTAGGATTACAGGTGCAAGCCACCACACCCAGCCCAATCTGTGCTTTTCTTTATGGTAATACACACTTTGATCATATCCACAGAAAGACATATATACCATAGCCTTTGACTGTCATTTTATTAAATTCTATTCTCTTCCCTATGTTCTGAACACAATTGTTATTCTCAACTCTTTCCACCTTGTGAATTATGCATGTAAAAGTGTTACTTGCTAGTTCTGTGACCTCAAGTCTTACCTGCCCAGACCACTTCCACTTACATGTATTAAAGTAAGGGAAAATTAAAAATTGAGTCAACTCAATCTTCAGTGAAGTGCTCAAATATTGTCAAACAAGTTTTAAAAGACTCCTTACCTCATTGTTCACTTTATCAGCGTCTCTCTGTGGAGAGCAATCTTCATGTTTACAACAACTTTTGGGAAATCCTTTTTCTGAGTAATAATTAGTATCTGTCCAATCTCTATAGTCGGTGACACCACAACAATGCAACTGAAAAATCCAACAAAAGCATCTATAGTTCATATTACAACTCTCTAGTCAAACATCTAACCTAAAATCATCTTCTACTGTAATTTGTGCTCAAAACATTTATTATACTCAATGATCTCTCTCCTGAATTGATTCAAGAGATGAGTACTCCCCCCTAAAGAACTGGCATTACTTTCCTGCTACAGTTGGTACTAACAGTACTTTGGCCTATCATGAAAATGGAGAGGGAAAAAAACAGGCACACATGTAAGGAAAATAAAACATGTCACAGTTCTTGTACAAGTGCACATCTAGTAGCCAGGGTCCATTCTTTTCTCTGAAGCGACAGGGAATGTGTTCCCCTCTTGAAAAGCTACCACCTATAACCACTTACCGTATTTTGTATCTTGTCTACTGCATCGCTTTTATAATCTCCCGTAGAGTTATACTGTTTCAAAGCCTTCACATAATTATTCTTAAAGCTGTTCTTAATCTACAACAAAAAAAACACAATGCCAGTAAAGAGATATTCTGGAAAGTTCTTTTGGTTTCTAGGTCAAATATAAGTTCTCATCTAACCACTGGTCCTATCTCTGTCAGTGGCAACATGTATGATAATCAACTTCCATGGTCCAATCATGTCCTCTAAGCAAAATAGTTTAGCTGAGGGGACTACTAAGTAAAACAGTGCAATATAAGATGATAACCACTACAAGGTCAAAGAGCTGTGGGAGCACAGATTTATCTAAGTATTACTGTATTCTGTAATCTCCCATCTTTCTCTACTTTAAACCGAGTACAAATTTAAGCTACAAAACTTTACTTCCAAAGACCACACTATCACTTTGTATGTAAAGCACTCTCGTTGATGAGTCTTCACTACTCACTGAATGATTTCTTACCAACCGTGGGTTTATCTGATTTCTAATTCAACATTAAATTTTGATCATCTGTACTAAGTATATCCAATCTTTTCAAAACATATGGCATAAGTGAAGAAAGTATCAATTTTGTGCTTTCCATATTTTCCTATCATTAAAGTTAAAAACTGTACTATCTCCACATTAACAGGATATTTTACAATATTCTAAACTTTCTATTATGTTAAAAGTGGGCCAGAATTTTTAGAAGAAAGTCATTATTGTCAGCTACAAGTTTAAATACAGAGGCCTAACTCTGTTATTTAAGTTAATTCATTTTTATCTCTTAAATGATAATTTTTAACATATTAAAAGCTTCCCTAATTCAGGCTTACCTCATGTCTGAATACAAATCCTACTATGGCAGCGACCAGTTCGACCAAAAAAATGAGAGTCAGAAACATTGCATACTGTAGAATAGAAAAGAAGTCCAAGTCAGCATAAATAAACTATATCATAGTTCCAAAGGGAGTCAAAGAAAAAATAATTATCTGCTCAATCAGTTCAGCATGTTTTTACAGAAAAGAGCAGGGGAAACAATAACAAAATATCTATTTTGAAAGTGGAAATTGGCAGCTGAACTGTTTCTTGGTAAGTTTTCATAAGAAACAGGAAAAAAATCATAAAGGGCCATGGCCAGTTCCAAGAAACAAAGACATATGAGAATCTTTTCTAAAACCAAGAATCAACTTAAAGAAAACAAGGACTCACCAGTTTTAGCATCCATGCAGAAGCTCGGCAGGTAGCAAAACAACCGAAGGTGCCCAAAAGAATAATGACAGTGCCAGTGCCAATCAGCACGAAGGGGACATTGGTGGCCTTCTCGTTTAAAAGGGAAAAATAATTCTCTAGGCTCACCTTGCCCCAAATGCCAACGGCAAGGAGGACCACACCAGTGATCTACATGAGAAATCAGACAATAAAAAGTTATGTACCGTGTAGAGAAACATCTTCAAATCACAAGCCACGAGGTATTTAAGACAGGAGTGTGATATGCATGCATATGGCAGACAAGAGGGGAGGGTAGTGGAGAATAACAGAGGGTAGGCTGTGGACAAAGTATCTTAGCGAAATTCCTAAAATTCATCTTTTGTGTAAACACAAGCCCCAGGCATATATGACCTAGGCATCAGAACTTCCTTAACTGTTAGAAAGAAAACCTTCTTGGAGGAAAAATAAAGTGTTTCAGTGAGTTCCTGAAACTTTTCCCCTCGTCCCTCGTCCCTCTTCCCACCCTCAGTTTAGGGATGAGCACAGGGCACAAAGGAATGGGTACGCAAAAGCAAACCTAAAGGATACACTGGCGGGAGCAGAAAAACCACACCATACTTACCTGCGAAACACTCCCCTCTCAAGAAGCAGTGAAAAGAAAAACACTAATATGTAAGTGAGCCTTCAAAGGAGCTGGACAAGCCTAGCCTCTCCAGCGGCTCAGAGACACCGTCTGCCTGCTCTGGGAACTTTACTCCCTTCCTCGCCTCCCGCATCGACCTCAAATGCTTGGCACGTCTGGGTCCCAGCTCAGCCTGTCGTCTACCTTCGTCCCACACCCCGACCCCGGCGCCGGAGACATGCCAGAGCTCGGATCTCGAGCTTCAGCCACACGTCGCCAGCGCCAGGGTCCCAGAAGCGATGGCCCTGCAAACCACACCCCACCCCCAACCTGAGCTCTCGGTGCTAAGGGTCACACCCCCTACCTAGCCCGGGATTCCTAGCCGCACCCGGGCGCCTCCGTCTCTCACCCAAAAGATGAAAGTGTAGATCAAGAGGACGCTCTTGAAACAAGTAATAACTGGTTTAGTCTGCAGTCTCCGAGACGGGGACGCCATGACTAGCCCGAGACCCTGCACCACCGCACCGGGCGAGCGCCACAGAGCGAGCGAGACGCGGAGTGTCCGAGTCTCCCCGGAAACTGCCGAAAACTTACGAGTTTCTACAACTGAGAAGAGCCGGAAACACTGTTCAATTTTCTAGAGGGTAAAGTGCGAGAGGCTGTCCGGAAAGTGATGACAATTTCCGAGCGCCCCCTGCCGAAGGTTACTGGAAACTATATACAAAGGTTCTAGTGTCGGAAATTTCATAGGTCTTCAAGTGGAGCTTTCTTCATTTTTTTTCTCTGCTAAAGAATCTTTCCCGCCCCCACCCCTCCCCCGCCCTTATAACTTTATCATATTGTTCCTATCACCAGCAGAGCCAGCAGTGCTCTGAGATCCGGCCTCCCCGGATGCCCTAGAAGGAAGCAAAAGAATGAAAAGAGGTTAAAAGTGACCTACATGAGAAAATACCTACAAGAAATATATTTCCAAAAAGAAAGCAGATCGCAAACTAATACACACAGTTGCATATGCTTACACAGAAACAAAAGAAATGCGAGATTTACCTCTGGTGGAATTAAGCTGATTTTTCTCACTTGTTTTGTGCTTTTCAATTTGTGAACATTGTTTTATGGGATGGAGAATGGGGACAAGAATGAACGAATTGAGGGAAATAATCACTTGTCTAAAAAACTCCAAAGCTAGGTATTAAAGATAACAATAAATTTTACAATTTCCCTACAGTCCTTGCAAAACTCTATTATCCATCTCCTTTCTTATCCTCTACAGAAAGTGTTTTAAATGTAAATAATAGTGAAATGTAAGCTCAGCTATTAGCTGCAGACTTCCAAGGGCCTCTATGGAAAATGCCCAGGTAAATGTGACCTCCTCTTAAATGCTAAAACTAAAAGGCATCATAAATTTCAGACCCCTGGTTTTTCCCATTAAGAACCAACTGATCACATAGAGGTTAAAATTGAAGGTCACACAGTTGATAACAAAACCAAAAGAGATTACTATGCTTTCTAATCCAGGTTATCTGGTTTATTATACAAGTTGCATATGTCTGCTCCCTGCAAAAGAACTTCTCCTAGTTGTTTAGATCTTCCTGGAATTGTTGAGACTATGTTTTGTTCATAAGGAGTTAAAATGCTTACAAGATGAGAATGAATCACCAAAGTTTTCTGTTCCCTATATGTCCAGAAGTAGCCCTGAGTCAACCTTAGGCTTGGAATTAAAAAAAATAAATAAATAAGCTGGTGTTAAGACTAAAGCTGAGGCTTTTTTTGTTTTTGGCTTGTTCTCCAAATAGTTCAAAGGCCTTAAAAACTTGGATCATGCAAATCAGAAGCACATTAGAGGGTAAAGTTTTCTGATACATCTGTAAAATGGGGATAAATATTTCTTAAGAGATGTTATGTGTAAGTGCTTTGCCTAGTACATAAGAATAAATGCACACATTTACTGAGCTGCAAATATAATGGTTCAAATCTATGCCTCTCATTAAAGGGGGAAAATGAGCCTAGACATTACAGGTTCTCACTGTTTCCTGTTTTTTGGGCATCTTTTAGGCTCCAAGAGTGATCAAATGAGCTATTCATATTGCCCTCAATTTAAATAGGTCATTTACTTCTTATGGAAGCCTTGAGGTTGGGATGTCTTTTTCATCTAGTGAGTTTTAAAACATAGTTACAAAATGAATTACATACAAATAATAAAGTGGTATAGGCATCCTTATCACTCTTTTTATTCAGGAACACTAGTTCAATCCTCACCATTCATTTTTCTAGAAATGCAGGAGAGATGTAATCAGGAGAAAAGAAAGAGACCATGGTTGGGTGTCAAGACTCAATTTTCAGTTTAGTGGAAAATACACACCTAGTGAATGTTTCTCTAGGCTTTCCTGCTTCCTCCCTTATATAGGAAAAAAATAGCTATTTGCTAGAAAACCTAACACTAACAATACTAAAGATATGTAGGATCCTTTATATGGTGGATAGCTACTTTTTCGACTAAAAGCAAGTTAACTTTTAAGGGGAGCTTGTAATTGGACATCTCTAGTAAATTACAAATGGCACTTAAAGTGTAGAAATGATGTTTAGTATTTTTTCCTATCCTGTATGTAGGTCCATGTTTCAATGTTATGTATTATGAATATATTGGTCTATATTGTTACAGCAAAAAATGTGTATTAAGGTCTAATTTCAGTACCAAGTGGTACATCAGTTCCCTATCCAACCCATCCCATCATTGTTGACATAAGCTTAATATCACAAGTAGCCATTTACTGTATTGCTATTGCAAAAAGCCCTGCATTTGTGGAGCGGTGACTGCTCAAACTTTTCTGCTTGAAACCTTGCTTTAAACATATACCACAAAACTAGAAAACAGGAAAGTTCCATTGACTGGTCACACAGAGCTTCCCTGTGCTTTGAATATTGACCTAGGACCAATTCCTATAACATCTCACCAGATGTCTGATGTACAAGGGAGCAACTATTAGAGAATGAATTATGCATTGCCAGGCTTTCTGCTAAAATTTTATCCTAAAATTAGAAATAAAAACACAAATACGTGGAGAGAATGGGTAAATGATACATCTATATACACTATATACATCTATAAACACTTTCAGGCAAAGTCATCAGGAAATAGAAGATATGCAACTTTTAAAGTATCACATATGCCATAGCTACAGGAGGTGAGGTAGGGGGACTTTAAATATATGCAAAGCTTTATCACTAGGGTAAATGACCCTATCAGAGGGGTCCTCATTATAAAAACAACAAGTATCAAGGGAAGTCTTGCTAACTCCTTGTTATTTTAAATAGAAGTTTCCTCTGAAGCTTAGAGGAAACTAAGCTGTGTGAGCCCAAGAGCAAAGAAATATTTTCTGTGCCTGAAAAAAAAAATAGCAAAGCAAAAGCCACATCTTATTTCCAAGAATCTGTTGACTTTTCTCCGCTCCCTTCCTCTGCTACTCACAACGCTGCTTTGTTTGAATGTCAGTCAATGCCAAATTAAACCAAAGGCTAACATGGACATTCATACTTCTATGGCTACAACACCTTGCAGCACTGCCTCCCACCCACAACACCCACTCTCCCTTGCCTCCACCATGCCACCAAACCCAGAAGTTCAATTTAGTTCAAAGGTAGACCTGAGTCTATATACAAACCCACAAGATAGGGGCATCTAGTCCTATCTAAGGCAATTCAAGAAAGAATTCTTTCCTTAGCCCATTAAGTAAGTTTATTCTGTATAGTATTAATAACTATGATAGTGAGCATTGACTATGTACCAACTGCTGTTGCTAAGAGCTTGATACCTATTACCTCTTGCATACCTCACAAAAACTCTATTATGAGGTCATCGCTACTACTGCCCTCATTTTACAGATGAAGAAACAGATTGAAAGAGGCTAAGTAACCTGCTAGGTCTAGCTCAGCCAACTTCTGTTTTCTTCATCAGAAATGGGGCCCACTTTGTGATGAGACATGGCTGTGGTTGTACAAACAACTTCTCAGCCCAGAATAACCCAAGCAAAGACTGTTATTGTACAAACATTTAGCCATGAACAAGAGCTCCTCGGAACTCCTAAAGTACGAGGACCTCAAAGATTGTCACAATTTTTCCTTGAACTTGGGCTTTTTTTTTTCTTGAGTTTTATTTTTGTCTTCAGTCCAATAGCCCAATCACCTAGGAAGTAACCCTGCCTATCCCAGAGTGGTGAGATACAGAGTTTAATACTTTTTCTGGTTCAATCTCTTAATTTCTTCCTCTGAGCACAAAAACACATTTGATGTCAAAATGTAGGAAAAAAGGAAAATACTTTCTCTAAGTACTGTTGCTGCTTGTTTTACATTCAACATTTAGTAGGGATTTGTGTCCCTTCCCCATTAACTTCCCGTAACCTTACAAGATTAGGTATAATGTTTTTCATTGGCAGATATCAGGCAAGGGAAATGACATAAACAAGTGCCCATTGTTAAGTCAGACCTCCCCTATGTCACCCCCACCTCCAACTCACCCCCACCCCCACCAATCTCCTCTCATACAATCTCAATTGATTTCTG